CCCCCCCCCCCCCCCACCCCTCTCACACACATACACTTTAGTCTGTCTATGTGTGGGTGCATCAGGCTGACACGGAAGAGTTGGATCATGACGAGAGCCAGCCCGCTGGTGGTGGTCCGTCCCTGATGCGTGACCACTCGTCGCCCCTGCCGCTGCTTCACCAGCAACAGCACGCCATGGCGCACCACCACCACCACAGGTAGTCACTCGTGTGTGTGTGTGAGGGTGTACATTTGTTGTGTGTGTGGGTGTCTGTATGGCTCCCTGTCGCTCTCTCTGTGTGTGTGTGTGTGTGTAGGCCTCGTTACAAGTATCGCCTGTTTGTGCTGCACTCGCTGATCGACAAGGAGGAGCAGGAAGCCGTGTTCAGCCCACCGCCAAACGGTGAACAGACACACAACACACACAACACGCACACACACACACACAGAGGGAGAGACCAGACTCACACATATGTCTACAGACACGGTCCACGTGGTGCTGGCCTCCAATATCGCCGAGAGCTCCCTCACCCTCCCTGCCGTGAGGGTCGTCATCGACTTCTGCCTACACCGGCGACTCGTGCACGACAAGCGGCGCCACATGTCGGCACTGCTCCGGTCCTGGACGTCTCACGCCTCATCCCAGCAGCGGGCCGGCAGGACCGGCAGAGTGTTTCCGGGAGTAGCCATACGACTGGTGTGCTTGATACACCTATACACAGACACACACATACGTGTGGATGCGTGTGTGCAGGTGAGCGACAAGTTCTACCACAACTGCATGAGCAAGTTCGACCCGCCCGAGATGGAAGTCGCGCCGCTCGAGAAGCTCTACCTGCAGGTAGGGGCGGGACAGCACACAGATGTGTGTGTGGATGGATGTGTGGGTGTGGGCTTGGGTTTGTGGGCAGGTGAAGCATCTGGCCGTGAAGCTCAACGCCGCTCAGAAGCAGTTCAGCACGCCCAAGGAGCTGCTCCGTATGACAGTGCAGGTACCCACACACATATCCTCAGTCAATGTCCGTCCACACAGCACCATACGTGTCCCTTTCTGTGTGTGCGCCAGCCGCCCCCCATGGATGCGCTCGACGCGGCCCTGACGACCCTTGACGAGCTGGGCGCCCTGACCAACAACCACCGCAACGAGGACGCGGGCATCACCCCACTTGGCGCGCTGATGATGACCCTGCCGCTGGACATACACCTGTGCAGGTGGGGCAGCCGTGGACCATGGCCATCAAAGATGCGCTTCCATCCAGCTGATGTGTGTGGGGGGGTGTGTTGCAGGTTGGTGCTGTTTGGTTTCATCTTCGGCTGCCCCTGCGACGGTATTGTGGTCGCCGCAGCAGTCTCAGCACAGGTACGCACCTATCCCTTCCGTCGCTTCGCGCGCACACACACGAAGCGCAGCAGAGCCGACGCATGTGGGAGTTCGTGTGTGGGTGGGTGTGAGTAGGACCCCTTCACGATGCCGTCCCATCTGGTGATCAAAAACCCTGCTGAGTTCGGTGCGTCCCTGCAGAAGTCGCTCCTCTCTCGCGCACACTTCGACGCCAACCACCACTCGGAGCCGCTCATGCTGCGGTAAGGACACGCACAAGTGTGTCTCCGTGTCTCTCTCTCTCTGTCCCTATCTGTGTGTGTGTCATGTCATGTCATGTCATGTTGTGTTGTGTTGTGTTGTGCTGCGCAGGAATGTGTTTGTGGAGTGGCTGTTGCGTCTCGAGGAGCACCTGCTGCACAAACACAGGAACCAGCCCAACTGGCAGCGGCAGAACGGGTGTGTGCGGACGGACCGGACCGTCCCCCACCTTCAGAAAAAGCGTCTGTGCACGCCCCGCCTCTCT